TTTATGTGGTGCTAAGGATCCAACCCAGTGCCTCACACATGCTGGGCAAGTGCTCTGCCACGGAGCTACAGCCCCAGCCTCTTTTCAACTTGTTTCTAAATTTATATTCTGTTTGTAACAAAGAAAAGGAGTACACTGGGATGAATACCCCTTCTAGCTCATAAATTACAAAAAATATAGGTACTTATTTCTCCTGTGTTTGCTTCTCTGGGAACCTGGCACATAAAAGGAGCTTAGTAAGTGTTTCTTAATTCTGTGAATCAATCAAGCAAGGAACCAAGGTTTGTGGAGCATCTGCTATGTGCATAACGTTGAGGTGGTTATAGGAAGGTTATGTACCGGAATAATGCAACACAGTGTACAACCAGAGAGAATCAATGTTGTTAAAAAACAAAGGCCCTGAGATGAAAAGTCAGCTAGCCATTCGAGGACATCCCTGCTAATTACAAGAGACACTAAGGAAAACTCTGGGTGGAAGAGCTACCTTTGACTGCTCTCACAGGAAGTGAAGAGATCCTCTTTAGCCTTACCATGTACTCTAGAGTACAAGAGAGACCCCACTGAGCTCTGGGTGAGCAGCATGCCTCCCATTCCACATATCATTTTTGGAAAAAGGAAAGATCCAAGAATCCATCTCAATAGGATGAAGCCATTTGACCTCGTATGGCTTTATTTCTTCATAATAAAAAAGAACATAGGACTAAGATGATCTTTAAAAGCTCATCCACCATGCAGACTGTGGTTCTGTTTATTTGTGACCCAGGTGCTGTCTCAAAGAAAACAATATACACGAGCATCACCGTTTCAAGAGACGCTCAACCAGCAGAGGCCAGAATCTATGATGAAATCCCTCAGTGCAAGGTGAGCTGCTGATGCTATCAGGAATTCCACCACCACCCCCAGGACAGAGTCACCATTGCCCTTGGCTTCTGTTGCCCGGAAAGCAGTCAGGGCAAGTCTGGAGGGGTCCAACCAGGAAACACCAGGTCAGGGAAAAGATAGCATGAATTCCTCTGTGAGGACGGGAATGTGGTCCACTGTCAGCCCCTGGCAGCCTCCGAGGTTTGAAGTCATGAGCATCTGCATGCAGGCCTGGCTCTGAGTTAGATGAGAGTCATGACTAAGAAGCACCCTCTAGAGGGGCCAAAAGAGGAGCCCCTAGTGTGAGGGAGAGGGCTGCTGCCATGGATACAGAAAACCAGATGCTAAGGTGGCTCCAAGGGTCAGTTCTGTAATTGGAGCCACTCTGCTGCTTGGACTTGCAGCAGCAGGTTACTTTCCTCAGACTCTGACTCCCTCCGTTCCACACCCTGGCTCACCTCCATCTGTGTTTCCACCAGCCTGCTGCCCTGAGATCTGAAAGGAGTTTTCCCAGTCGCTCTAGCACTGTGCTTGGACTGATAGGGCTGCTCCATCCATGGAGCCGGTGGAAAACAAAGACCCGGACTAAGCAAGACTCAGTCTGTCTGAACCATGCACATCCCTCCTCTTGGCTCCTCCTCCCCTCCGGGGTGCCACCCACTCCCCTCACCCCACCCGATCCACTGGTCCTCTCCAAAGTTGGATGAAACCAGATCTGAAGCCAGGAGAAGAGACTACCCAGTAAACGTGGGACCAAAGAAGGGGGATGGGTGAGGCAGAATTAGGAAGGGAGATTCATAGAAGGCTCACGGAGAGGACTATGGATGTTGTTTTCCAGGGTACTCCATTCAAAGAAGAGCCGGTGAACACAGTTTATTCCACCGTGCAGTACTGCGAGAAGGTAAATCGTTTTCGGTTTTTGATCCTGCTTTCCTCTTTGTGGCAGTCATTTTGGTGATCCCCGTCCATCAGTAGGTAATTGAAAACCCAAGACTTCGCAAGCTCGTGGGAAGGTTGTTGACAGCATTCTAAATACCTAGATCACGAGAGACACCAGTAATGAAAAGCCTGCAGTGGCTTTCCCTGTGTACAGCTGAAAGTAGAATTATTGGGACACAGAAAGAACTTGGGCCCAACTAGGAACAAAGAATGCAGCTAGCTGGAGCCCTGGATGTTGTCTCAAGCCCAGAGTCAAAATCAATGTCAGTTTCCCCCATTCCCTCCTACTGCGCTTTTCTGAGCAAAGAAATTCCCAGGGGGTCCCAGATGGGGTGGTTGGAGAAGAGGAAAAGAACTTGGCAAAGACAAGGCCCTGCTACCCCAGATTTCTGCAGCACTAGGGAAATCTAAGACACCCCACCTCCGGGGCCACTTGCTGAATTCTCCTGGGTACCACATGGGACTGGAGTTCCACAGGCACACCTTAACATATACTCACATTTTCCTCTCGTGCACAGGTGGAGAAAACCAGCACACAGGACAATAGACCTCCCAGGAGACTTCAGCCTATGAAATTGTGATCTAGCTAGCAGATGGCATTCTCCCTGGGAAACTGAGTTGCAGTCACCCATTGTGGCAAGTGCCCTGGATCTAGACCTTCTCTGTACAGCTCTTACTGGGAGATTGCAAATCACCGCATCCCAACATGTAAGCCAAGCAGGAAACCTTCTGTTGCTGAGCATGGCTGGTACCAACAGACAAATGGTTACTTGCCCTTTCTGACTGGCTCCCATTCGGATGAATGACAGAGCAGTTCCCCAATCTCCTTCACATCATGGCACGTGCAGAAAATAATGTTTTCTTAAGGCACTCTGTGGGTAAACAATCAAAGTTGCTCCTGCACGTGGCTGGAAGATTCTCTTTACTAGAGGTAACAGATCTGTCCAGCAGCTGTGAGAAGAAGGGAATCAATATTTTGCACACCTGTAACATGCCATACACACCAGCAAGAATGCTCTGCTCACACTCTGTGTATGCAAGGAACACTGGTACACGGTCCTCACCAGTTCCTAAATCATCTTGAGCAAATTAGGAAAAGATACTCTTTCCTTGGGACAGAGGGAGCCCCTCACTCAAGTGCATGGCATGGTACCAGCCCCCACTCGCTCCTTTGCTTGGGGACCTACGTGCAGGGCACAAGCTGTCAGAGTTTTGGGCTGTTAGTCACGAAGAACACGCTCTCCAAATGGAGTGTTAGAAATACTCCTTCGGTAGAAACTAGAATGTTGGAGCATTATTCTATGGGCTCTATTTCAAAAGTCTTACGGGACTTTCTTTCTGGCCAAGTCTTCCTTCTGTGTCACTCTGAGCAGGGTCAGCAGGAAGATGACACACCCAGTACCTCTGCTCTCCAACAGAAATTAATCAGCTATGTTTTTTGCTTTTGGTGGAAATGGGTGTAAACCAGCCATTCCAACAAGAAACCCTGAAGGAAGCACAGTGGTTAACTAGAGGAAACTTGGGAGTAATGGTGCAGGTAATGAAACTGGATTTCACCCAGTTCCTTATTCTCAGCTCAGAGGGGCAGGAGGTTCAAGTTGAGGTTGAGAGCCTTGCTCCAGAATCCCCACAAACACATGGCCAGCTGGCTAGCCATAAGGAGGAATCACGCCCAGCTCAGCTGGACAGTCATGTGATCATAAGAGGATGGTTTGCCTTTTGTGTTAGCAAACCTAACTGTCTAAATCTCCTACAGCAAAAAAAAAAAAAAAAATGAGCCGCATTTAGGTAGAATGAGGTTTTCCATCCCAGTGAATGAATCCATAGAACTTTCTAGCACCGGCTACCATTCTTAGGGTGGCGAGGCCCAAAGATGAGCATGATGTCTTGCCTTTGGCCCAGCTGAAGAGAGAAATTCAACACAGACACTACAGTCAAGTCCTGAACTGCAGCTGCAAGCAGTGAAATGAACTACAACAGTCAGAAGAGCTAGAGGAGGAGGCAAGGCTGAAGCTGGGCCACAGAGAGAGGCAGAGGGAAGGTGGGAATCAGGCAGATATCTGGGTCTGTGGGGTGTAGTTGGGGGTTCACATAGGCTCACAGTCCCTTGCCTGTGCAAAATGGAGTACCTCAACCAGAAAGTATGTCGCTACCCCTGTCCACGTACATATCCTCCAATGCCCACCTCAAAAGGCACCTATTCTAAAAAGCGTCTCCCGGTATCATCAGCTAAAACTAATCACGGCTCATTTTATTCTGACTCATAGCGTACATAATTATCTGATCTCCTCACTACAGGATACACTACTTAAGGATAAGGCCCATGTCTTTTATTCATTGCTTTATTTTTCTCTGTATCCACCACCACCCAACATAATGACTTGTACCCTGTGTGCGAGCTGTAAATGCTGTTGGAGAGAATTGAAGTGACCAACCTGCTGGAACAGAAAAAGTACATGTTGGAAGTAGGGACAGATCAATGCCAATAAGCATAGTGCATAGGGAGCGGCTCTGGACAAGAGCTATGTATGTGGCCAACCAGCCACGGGCTGTGTGTGTGAGCTGTGAGCATCCTGAGCGCACAAAGCGGACTAGACTGAGATGCTGCTCTGTGTGCGCTGTGCACGTTTGTGTCCCTTTCGCTTGCTCTGCCTTTGATCCCCACACAGCACTTGAGATGGGCGTGGCCTTCCAAGATGTCAATCAACCTGCTGACAGCAAGACATTAGGAGCTAGACTCAACCCCCTGAAACCTGACCCCTTGCCTCATTTGAATGGCTTTTCCCCAATAAAACCAGGTTGGAGTCCTGCTCTTTCCCTTTGTTGCCTGCCTTGCCTCTGTGGTGGGAGCTGAGTCAGAGGGGCCGCCACGGAACCCAAAGGAAAAAAATATTTCCCTGTCTGTGTGTCATTATTTCGTGCCAGCCCAGTTCCCCTGGAGTGACCCTGACCGGTTTAGTCCTGTGTCGTGACAATAGTGGAACTAAGTTTTGGCAAGCATTAAACATTAGGATGCAGCTATAAGCTATTGCCTTTGGGTAAGGGCATTTGGAGGAAAACTTTCAGAGTTAGACAGCTAAGAGGTCAGCTGAAACACTGAAGGAGACAGTGCTCTGGGAAAGGGCATGAAGGGAAACAATTAAGTAACTTGGTTATAAAGGAGGAAGAAGCTGATGAGCAAGGTGAGTTTCCCCTCGCCCTATAGGAAGATTGAGGGATCATTTCTGAACACTCTTATTTTGGAATCTGCTTCTTCTGCTTCCAGTGTGCTTATTAAGTCAAATTCCTAGTGTCTTAGTGTGAGGAAAGAAAGAAAGGGAGGGAGGGAAGGAGGGAGGGATAAAGAATAATTGCAAGCAAGAGTTAGTTAGATGTTCCAAAACAAGTAAACCTGGGATGGATCCAGTGCTCGGGAATTTTTAAGGTAGCCTTTGAGCTCACGACCATTCTTTCCTATGAAAATTATGATTTGTGAAAATGTAACTCCCTCCACAGGACTCAGTCCTCAGATTATGCTGTAAAACGAGTGTGATTTTTTTTTCCCCCAGATAGGGTCTCACTCAATTGCCTTAGGCTGATTTTGAACTTGTGATCCTCATGTCTCAGCCTCCAAAGTGAAATAAATGTGATCTTATTTCCCCTTCATGGATTTCCAGAAGAGCTTCAATGTGACCAACATGTCTATAAAGTTACAACATTGTTTCAAGGGAACAGGGATTTACTAGAGACTGAAATGTGCCAGTTTTTTGAAAATACCATCAAAGTTGAAATCTTGGGGCAGCGCCCTCTAGTGGAAAGTACTGGTAAAGCAGGACAGTCCCTCTGCCTGCAAACACTGACTGGGCTTCTGATGTTACATCTCACACTTCCCAGAAGAAAATGAAGCTGGTTTAAAATATTATTTTTTAAAAGAAATCAACAGAACACTCTAAACTACATATCCAAAAGAGAAGAGCTTCAGTAGGCCACCTCGGAAATGGTGTAAGTAGGAAGGAGCACAGCTGGGTGGGGCTGTGTCAAGAGAAAGCAGGTCTTAGGTTCCACCTTGAGAGAAGAAATTGCTGGACTATATTTTATTTCAGATCAATTCCTTTTCTTCTGCTTGACTTTCCCCTGAATTTCCCTTGATTTGTATAATTTTCACAAGAAAACTAGTGACTGTACCCAGTGTGTAAAATAAAGTTTGGAAAACAAAGACACCAAGAGAAAGCATATTAATCGGTTGTCAGAAACATGAGCTCTGACACTGGATTGCCTGGGTCTGAAGTCCTCCTAACTCCGATGTATTTTGTTGTATGCAGTCCATGCCTCCTGTTACTACCATACCACACCCTAATTACCCAATACCATACCTGTCCTGCCAAGGAGGCTCAGAGAACAGGGGCTCTGTCTAAATAATAATGGAAATGGAACACTCATTGAGGAAGGACCTGGAGCTTAAGGGTTTACTTTGTATCCCAACTGCTCTGCTAGAAGCTTTGTCCTTAATTATCAGTACAACAGTCCCGGAAAAGAGAAATTGATTCTTCTAGTTTGCATCAAGGCTGTGGAGGAATGCCTTAACAAAGTCAGGAAGCCAAGGTGAAGGGATTTGACTGCAAGACTTGGTGCATTTAACTCTGTCATACTGCCTCCCTTTACCTGCTGTGGATCCCCACAGAAGAAGAAAATGAAGCTGGCTTAAAATATTATTTTTTAAAAGAAATCAACAGAACACACTCTACACTATACAAAAGAGAAGAGCTTGAGTAGGCCACCTTGGAAAGAGCATAAGTAGGAAGGAGCCCTGGTGCTTGGCCTCAGGTGTAAGACACAGATACCAGGTAGATCACACATACCTGCTGAATGAACGTTTGCATGTACTAATATTTTAAAGTGTCTAAAAACAGCTCAAAGTAAATATATTCACATAGCAATTCCATTGTTATCTGGATGCCACTCAAGATTTCTGTTGAAAATGCCCATTATCTTAAAGAAGTTTGGATGGAGCTCTTTGTCTGCATCTGCACAGAGCTGTTTTCATAGCCAGCAAGGCATCTGGGTCATGTGTTCTGATGAGTTGTTACAAAAATGAAAGGAACAATGTAAATTTCCATTACTAATAGCATAAGAATAACAGGAAAAGGTTAGACATTGGGTAATTGCACTGTACTATTTAGCTGTACTAAAGTAATAAATAGCTGTGTGCATGCAGATTTGAATGAGCACCCACCCAAGTATGAGGAACTGTTGTGGGTATTTTTGTTTGCTATTGTTGTTTTTTAGTACTGGGGGTTGAACTCAGGGCCTCGTGCATGCTAGGCAAGTGCTCTACCACTGAACCACATTCCCAGCCCTTTTTATCTTATCGATAGGGTCTTGTAAAGTTGTCCAGGGTGGCCTTGAACTTGCCATCCTCCCGCCTCAACCTCCCCAGTAGCTGGCATTACAAGTGCGCACCACCATCCTGGGTCTCTTAACGGTTGTTCAAAACATACTGAAATGTGAAAACACTTGGACAAAAGACCATTAATAAAAGTCCAGAACTCAGATTGGAAGAAGCAAAGGATTAGTACATTCTCTGGAGACTTTCAGACTTTGAGAAATTGACTTTGAAAAAAAAGCATAAATGGATAATAATTATTAACTCTTGCTGGCTAGTGGTCCAGGAAACCAGTTCTGAACAGCCATACTTAAGTCTCTGGGTTTGGGCAGAATCTATCTATTCTGTGACCTGAAATTAGTCATATCTTTACAAATGAGAATTGAGATTTTTCTTATGAGGTCTTGGTGAAGGTAAACAATCATAGAAGTGATCATCAGAGAATTTTTTAAATGCATATAAATCTTAAACCTTTCATTTACAACCTATATTTCCAACTGTTCATGGGCCATCTCACCAAACATTAGAAGTCACCTCAAATTCAGTGTGTTCAAAATGGAACTCAAAGGTGTGTCTCTGACCTCCGCAACTTGCTTTTTTTTTGGCTCCCCTGTGCTAGTTAATGATCCACTGTAAACATAATAACTAACACTTATCGAGGGCATACTATGTTCCATTCCCTGGGCTGTTTTACATGTACTTATTTAAAGCTCCTCAGAAACATTAAAACTCATCTACCTTCTGAAGTAGATATGATCACTGTTCCACAGATCAAGAAACTAAGTCACAAAAAGACTAAGAACTCATCTAATAGTCAAACTCTTCTTTCTTCCTGTCCCTCCAATTCCCCTCCACATTGAATCAGTTACTGGGTCCTCTCAACTCCAACTCCTCCATGTGGTCCCTCTCAACAATGTCCCTTCAACCTGCCGAATTCTCTAGCACCCGTCCCCTCTGCCTGTCCACTCTCTTCATCGTGTGTTACCTACGCTGCTATCACATAAAGAACAACCTTTCTAACATTATGTAGATCTTACTACTTTATGTCCCTACTAGAAAGTTCTCCCTGTGGGATGAGACTTTTCAGCAATCTGACTGATCAGATCCTCCTCTCTTTCTGCTCCCTAGGCTTTAGCCACACAGAATTATCATGAATCCATGAATCTACCAAATCATTTCTACCTCCCATACTTTTGCCCATGTCATGTCCTCTGCCTGGAAGGCTCTTCTCTCCCTTATGTCCCTGGCTCCTTCTTACTTCAGGGTCAGGCCAAGCACCACCTCTTTGTGTAGCCTTCCAAACCCTCCCACCCAAAGCTACCTACATAGCTCTCTATACTACTACAGCATGTGGTCCTAAATGTGCTTATCACACCATATAGTAACTATACATATTACGTAGGCACTCTACCACTGAGCTACATCCCCAGCCCTTTCCATTTTTAATTTTGAGATAGAATCTGGCTAAGTTGCCCAGGTTGGCCTTGAACTTGTGATCCTCCTGCCTCCGCTTCTTGAGTGGCTGGGATTATAGGCGTGCACCACCACATACCTGGGCTAGCTATGATATCTTCTGAACTGTCTGTCCATCATGTTGTCATATGTTTTAGGTCAGGGAACTTTCTTCTTCTCCTTTTTTGAGTCCCCAGAACTTAATGAATCCCAGATCCTTCTCAAAATGTTGGTTGCATCAGCTCATTAATATGAACATGAAGATCATGCCCACTGGTGACAAATGCTGCTCAACCTTTCAGGAGCTGGGGTGTCATGCTTGTAAATGGGATTTCTAATCCTCTTCATGTATCAACCTTTATTTCCCAAATGTGTAAGTTTCCATTAATAAAGTACTGTCCACATATCTTAATTTGTAAGTGCCTAAGGAATGGGACTACAGACTCCATCTCAGTGGATAAACACAATAGACATGGTCTGATAATGCATCTATTCTTTTTGTCCTACTTGTTTTTCAAGAAAAGAAGAAATGAAGTAAGTGACTGAAACAGCAAAGGATGTCTTCAAGATGATACCACCAGCCCCATGCAGTCTGAAAACCCAGGCCCCCGGGAGACACAAAGAGACCAAAGGATTGAGGGAGTAAGACAGAGAATGGGGCAAAAGATGGCGGAGGTGAGCAAGGTGAGTGGAACCCCAGGAGGAGACTGGGAAGCCGGAGGCAGGGAGTACCCAAGCAGAAAGAGCAAGGGACCAGAGCACAGCAGAGGCGTTGGGCTAGGAGTGAGGGAAGTTCTGCCCTGGGTCAGCCTAGAGAGAAGGAGACTGGGCACTTAAGTGCTGTGTGTTGGAGGCACGCCATGCAGGAGCTTTGACTATCTCACCTCCACTCACAGCACCCACACGGGGGCGAATGCCTAGTGGAGCTGAATAAACCCGTGTTGAACTGAATTTGGAGGAGTGCCCAGACATTAGGGAAGGAAAGGGGTTTCCAGAAACCACC